ATGTCAACAACCTTTAAATAAACAAATCTTATGATAATTCATTACTCATAATTACTAAGAGGTGTCACACGCTTTATACCTTTTATTTCTTTTTCTCTTTTTCTTTTCGTCTTTATTATTTTATAATATTATTTTGATTCCTTCTATGTGTATAAAAATTTCGAGACACATAATTTATTTCACAATTTCAAGTGGATCATTTGATTTTCCCACAATTGAATTACTAGGTTTATAATTTTACTTTAATTAAATTATTTCATTCAATCACCGAAGTTCGTATTGCGATTAGAGTTTTTTTTTTTTATGTCGACATTTATGTCATATTTTCGTTTGTCTAGTTGACCGTGGTTAGATTAATAACTTGCTTGTAAAAAAAAATAAAAAAATGAATATTAAGAAAAAATTTTAAAGCAATGACAAAATATTATCAACTTTTTGTCGTGTCAAATCCAATAATGGAAAATCAATACCCTACATTGTGTAATCAACTTCGAACAATGTGATTATTAAAAAAAGGAAAAAAAAGAAAAAAAAAAAGAAGATGGATAAGGGACCACATTAGAATTTCCTTATCCAAATGAAAATGGCTTTAAATCTTTAGTAGTTTACACTCCTAACAAGCAAGGAACTAGTTCCAACGGGGCTTTATTCCCTATTTCCGTTACTCTTCAGTCGTCAGTTCACTATATATAACTGTCGTTGTATGCTTCAAGAAACCATAAAAACCAAATTATTTAGCATTTTTTACTCCCCCAAAAAAATTGAGAAACTAATAGCAAATATGTCTCAACCAGCTAGGACTAAGAAAATAACTATGCCTAACCGCAGAAATAACTTGTTATCGGATGATGGTGCAATGATGCATGAAGTTCATGCTACTCATGCTCCTACGGGTTATCTGGTTGATGTCGATCCCATTCTCCGCGTCGCAAAGGATATTCTTGATCGCGTTTTTCCAGGCATTGATCGCGTTATGAATGTATGCTCAATTTTGCTTTATTTTGTTCGCTAATTTAAGTTTTTTTTTGGTTAATTTACTTGTTCTGATATCATGTTCAGGGCTCTCACCACCAGCACAAAAATATGCTGGACGAAAAGGATGCATTGTTGAACTATGATGAAATCGATGGATCATTGGCTTTTGTAATACAGAAAGTATCTTGCGAGGTTAATCTCGGCTCATTTTTAAGCATTTCTGTTTTCACTGTTAAGTAAGTACTTATTTTTGTTTACATGTAAGCAGTTGTCATGCAAGTGCCCAGGGGGAAACGCACATAAAACAACAGTGGCTATACTCAATCAGCTTTCGAGCTATACGTGGGACACAAAGGCAGTGATATCAATAGCATCATTTGCCTTGAAGTACGGAGAATTCTGGCTCGTTGCCTTGGTTTTTGAAACGAATCAACTTGCCAAGTCGGTAGCTTACCTTAAACGAGTCTCAGACATCATAGACCAATCAAGTTCGCTGAAATCCCAATTTGACTCGATAAATGATCTTGTAAAAGCCGCGTTGGATTTAACAAAGTGCATTTGTGAGTTCAGGGATCTTCCGGCTGAGTACATTTTAGATGACGAGCCACCTAAGTCAACTGCATTGGCTTATATTCCCACTGCGGTTTACTGGATCATTCGAAGCCTGGTTGCCTCTGGATCACATGTTACGCGCCTTTTAGACATGAATCACGAGTAAGACAAATCATATTAACACATCAGTTAAATTCTTGCCTACCTCAGACACGGATTGATTCTAAGTTTTGTTGATTTGCAGGATGAGTGCATTAGCTGCAGAGACATGGGAACTCGCTAGCCTAGGCAACAAGTTGTCAAGCATACATGACCACCTCAAGAAGCAACTCACTCTCTGCTATCAACGCATAGGTGAGAAATTAGATATCCAACAAGAAAATTATAACAAAATTCGATGCTTGCACAATCATTATCATCTAACTTTCAAGTATTGCGTATAAAATATGACCATTGTGATTTATTAAAGAGCGTGAGATGAATTGCCATGAAATGCAGATGAAAGGACGCACGAAGAGTACTTTCGTAAGCTTGTTCATCTATTTGAGACAACACCCCATATCGACAACCACAAGACACTCGCACACTTAATCTACCTCAAGGATGATCAGTTGCCACTTGAAGATGGCGCTACAAAGACAAAGGTATCTCAATTATGCTTATATTTTTGTTCCAATCTCGGTTATATTTTGTGAGAAACAAGTATTTTGACTTAATTTGACGTGAACAGCGTGGAGTTGAAGCGCTTATAGGGAAAACAGTCTTGTTACTAATATCAGATCTCGACATCTCCGATGATGAGCTTCACATACTTGGTAATATTTATAAAGAATCAAGAACTAACTCGGAGTTCCAATACGAAATTGTGTGGCTCCCAATTGTGGATAGGTCAATTTCATGGAACGAAAGACATGATATAAAGTTTCGTCAGCTGCAATCGATCATGCCATGGTACACACTACATCATCCGAACCTGCTACAACAGGCCGTTGCAAGGTACATCAAAGAAGTGTGGCATTACGTAAAGAAACCGATTCTTGTTGCATTGGATCCACAAGGCAAAGTAGTAAGCCAAAATGCGTTCCATATAGTGTGGATATGGGGTAATAATGCCTATCCATTCACTAACGAGAAAGAGGAAGCGTTATGGAAGGACAAGACTTGGGCACTTCCGCTTATTGTTGATGGCATTGATCCATTTTTATTGGAATCGGTAACAATTTGATTTATTTATTTTTATGGTTTATTCGGAGAGTGTATACTAATCTTTATTTCCATTATGTTAGATTAAAGAAAATAAGTACATCTGCTTGTATGGAGGAGAAGACATTGAGTGGATCCGAAGATTTACAACCACAGCAAAGAATGTTGCAAAAGATGCAGACATAATACTAGAATTGGTTTATGCGGGAAAAAGTGGCAGCAGGGAGAAAGTTGAGAGGATCAACAAAATAATAGACGAGAACAAATATAGTGGATTTTGGAATGAAATTACAATTGTTTGGTACTTTTGGACAAGACTGGAAAGCATGATGCACTCGAAGATTCATCGAGGCAGGACTGTTAAAGACGATCAAATACTTCAAGAGGCGTTGACGCTTCTTACATATAATGGTGATGATAAGTGGGCTCTGATATGTAGAGGTTCATCGCCTCAAACAGCTAGAGCCAGAGGCGATATGTTTCTAACGAGCCTAGAGGATTTTTCGTCGTGGAAGGAGGAAGCAAATCAAAAGGGCTTTGTCCCAGCACTCGTTGATTACTTTCAAGGACATCACACTACCAATCATTGTAATCGCCTTATTCTTCCCGGTATTAATGGAGACATCCCAGAGATGGTTATTTGCACCGAGTGTCACCGCCCAATGGACAAGTACTATATGTATAGCTGCTGCAATGAATGAAAGTTATAACCTAGTTTGTAATATTGTTGTGTCATATCGAGGACTGTGTACCAGACTCGCACTTAATTAATTCCTCATTATTCATGATGTACTAGGAAGAATATTGATGTCTTAAGATCTAGGTCTCTTGTAAGGTCTAGACTACTATTTGTGTGTTGTAAGAGTGTTCTAATAAAGAATGATTCAGAGTTCTGAATTACTCTATGTTTTCTACTTTTAAGTTTCCACTTCAAAGAAATTTTTGAAGTCCGGAAATTTCTTAAAAAGTTATAAATTACGCACAAGGCAAGACTGGTTTCGGGGTCGATTACATGAACCCTTCTACACCATTTCACTATGTTTTTTTCTAGACAGACTGGACCATGATGTAAAATACTAAATCAACATAAGCTCGATTTACATCCCTAAACCCTAAAAAATTTATAAAAGCAAACATTTTGTCTTAAAACCAACTCAAGTTTGATCCAGAGAAATATGATGATCTCTGATCCATTCTTCCTAAGCAAACCTTCAAATGAGCATTGCATATTATACTACCTCAGCAAAAGGATTTAACAAATCTAACACGTATAACCAACAATTCCACTTGTTTGGTGAAGTCGACTAGAGAATAGTAAAGAAGAATAAAGAAAACAAAATATTGTATACTGTACTGTCTGTTTGACATTATGTACCAAGACGAGAAATCCCATCTTCTTGGCAGGCAATAATGACTCAATTAATTATAGCTTGGCAGGCAATGAAGTGCTACTTATAATATTGATTGATGTTATTAATTCTTGACGTGTGTCATCTTCTTGATCTCTCCCTCGACTTTTAATTGTAGCTAGCCATCGTCTCATCCTTACATTAGTTGTCTAACTAATATCCTAAAAGGATTCGAAATTAAATTATTGTACAAAATTAGGTATATCGATTTGTTTGGAGCAATATTCTATCTAACTCAAGGATTTTTGTGTGATAGATCAAAATATTTAGATGTTATTAATAGATGTAAGTGAAAACATGAATGACAAGTTTTGTCTCCCAAATGTCATGACTCGACAAGATAGTAGACAAATTTATCACACATTTCCCTTCTTTCATTATGTCCAATCTTAATTCTATGTATCAAACATTTTTCGACTTTCAAGTATCCAAATATTGAACAAAACAAAATAAGGCTTTAACTCACTCTTATCCCTTAAACTATCAATCGTTTCCTCTTCTGGACGAGCTGTATCTAAGCAAGAAAAACACATTTTTTTCAAATTATCTGTCACCCGTTTATGGTAACTGCACCAAACATTTTGAATTTGGCATACACAAGAAGGGTTGGTGAAAATTAATTTTAAATAAACAAACATATCAATAATATACAAAACAAGCAATGAAATGAAAGACTAAAATTTTCACCTGCTGAAAATTTTCAATCAAGAACAGTTCCTGCAAATGATTGGAGGCAAATAAAGAAACAATGAGAGTTATTGGTTTGTGAGATGGCCTTTATATAGCATATTTAAGGGCCAATGGCTTGTAAATAAAGGCTGTGAACTCATTAAAGAAAGGAATTAAATTCCTGTTTGTGCCTTTTTTGTTCCTTGTTTAAAACATATTTAATAGTTGCCTTTACTCTTCTAGATTTTACAACTTTTCAACTTATTACGCATCCAAGTGAATTTGTGTATTATTTGTTGTTTTTAATAAAAATAATAATAATTCACGTGGAAATTCTATAATCAAAAGCCTGTCAATGGAGATTACGCATTACATAAAGTGCACGAGAATAAGTGGAATGGTCAAGAGGCCGTCAAAAGTGGGTTCTTAGATGATTTTTCTACAATATTAAGTTAAATAGGGTTTTGGTAAAAAATATTTGTTATAGTATTATTGAACGAAGTGAAATTAGATGCATGAAAATCGAGAAACCACTCACATGAAACATCGGTAGTCGTTTTTTCAAGATTTTTGAGTGAGTTGCGTCATGATTTCATATAGGATGTGCGCTATTGCTGGGTTTGTTCTTATAGGTTACGTACATATTATAACTTGTTAAATACCTCCATTTCGTGTTTCAAAAAATGGGTTACAAACTATATAGGAACAAGTGTTTCCCTCAAATTTTGTAAATATGTAACTTAAAAAGTCAGTTATGGACGGTCTATTTTGTGAAAAAAAAAAAAAGACAAAAAGAAAAAGAAAAGTTAATGGACTAATTATGTATCAAAGCTTAAATGTTGTAGATGACGTTTTGAAGAGCGATAAAGTTGCTATAAAATCCAAAGATTAGAGATCAAGTTGATCCATGCCACAATTATCTCGAAGATTATGATTCTTTAGAACGGAGAAGGACCAAGGTGCTGCAAATTGAAAATCTAGTGACTTATATACTAAATAATTAGACAAATTCTAGTGCTCGTTTAACTTGGACGCGTTTGAATTTTTTGCAAAGATTAAGGACCCCTAAGCAAACCTACAAATGAGCATTGCTTATAATACTACCTCAATAGGGCTGAGCATGGTCCGGTTTCAGTTCGATTTTAAAGAGAATTGAACTGAACCCAAATTTACGGGTATTTAGTAAATGGAATCGTCGGGTCCAAATTTAATTATGGAATAGTTTAGGTTCGGTTCCATTTGATTCAGCTCGGTTCGGTTCGATTCGATTTTATTCGATTCTCAGGTTTCGTACAATCATTAAATTTTTTATATTATAACAACGCTACATTAATTCACTATGAATGTTTAATCTTAACTTTTACAAAATAACGTAATTCAATCTCGTGATATCTTTGCGTCTCTCTTTGTTGAGTTCTTCATATATTTAACCGTTAAAATCACAGGAAGAGAAAGATGATGAATTCACAATAATAGAACGGTAGAAATGACACTATGGTAGAGTGACGAGTTCTTCATATATTTAACCGTCTCTCTTCTTGTTCTCTCCCTCGACTTTTAATTGTCGCTAGGCATCGTCTCATCCTTACATTAGTTGTCTAACTAATATCTTAAAAGGATCCAAAATTAAATAATTGTACAAAATTAGGTATATTGATTCGTTTGGAACAATATTCTATCTAACTCAAGGATTTTTGTGTGCTAGACCAAATTTTTTAGATGTTATTAATAGATGTAAGTGAAAACATGAATGACGGGTTTGGTCTGCCAAACGTCATGACTCGACAAGATAGTTGACAAATTTATTGCACTTTTCCCTTCTTTCATTGTGTCCAATCTTAATTCTATGTATCAAACATTTTTCGAATTTCAAGTATCCAAATATTGAACAAAACAAAATAAGGCTTTAACTCACTTTTATCCCTTAAACTATAAATTGTTTACTTTCCTGGACGACCTCATTCAACATGGTATCAAAACAAGAAAAAACACATTTTTTTTCAAATCTATCCGTCGCTAGTCTATGGTAAACGCATCAAACACTTTGAATTTGGCATACACAAGAAGGGTTGGTGAAAATTAGTTTTTAATAAATAAACATATCAATAATATACAAAACAAGCACTGAAATGAAAAGGCTGAAATTTTTCAGTCGTTCCTGCAAATGATTGGAGGTAAATAAAGAAACAATGAGAATTGTCGGTCTGTGAGATGGCCTTTTATATAGCATATTTAAGGTCCAATGGCTTGTAAATAAAGGCTGTGAACCCATTAAAGAAAGAAATTATATTCCTTTTCCTTGTTTAGAACATAGTTAATAGTTGCCTTTATTCTTCCGGATTTTACAACTTTTCAACTTATTACGCACCCAAGTGAATTGGTGTATTATTTGTTGCTTTTAATAATAATGACATGGAAATTCGATGATCAAAAGCCGGTCAATGGAAATTACGCATTACATAAAGTGCAAGAGAATATGTGGAACGATCAAGAGGCTGTCAAAAGTGGGATCGTAGATGATTTTTCTACAATATTAAGTTAATTAGGGTTTTGGTAAAATATTGGTAAAATATATTTGTTATATTATTATTGAACGAATTGAAATTAGATGCATGAAAATCGAGAAACCACCCCCATGAAACATTGTTAGTTGTTTTTTAAGATTTTTTAGGGAGTTGCGTCATGATTTCATATAGGATGTGTGTTCTGCCAGATTTGTTCTTATATGTTACGTACAATTTATAACTTGTTAAGTACCTCTATTCCGTGTTTCAAAACATGGGTTACAAACTATGTAGGAACAAGTGTTTCCCTCATAATTTGTACATATGTAACTTAAAAAGTCAGTTATTGACAGTCTATTTTGTGGGGAAAAAAAAAAACAAAAAGAAAAGTTTATGGACTAATTACGCATCAAAGCTTAAATGTTGCAGATGACGTTGTGAAGAGCGATAAAGTTACTATAAAATCTAAAGATTAGAGATCAAGTTGATCCATGCCGCAATTATCTCGAAGATTATGATTCTTTAGAACGGAGAAGGACCAAGTTACTGCAAATTGTAAATCTAGTGACTTATATATTAAATAATTAAACGAATTCAAGTGCTCGTTTAAATGGACGCATTTGAATTTTTTGCAAAGATTAAGGACCCCTGTACAATTTCCCCAAGATATTCGTGTAGTCAAAGAAACACAGCCAAGTCAAAGTCAAGTGGTCACGTCACGGAGCAATCGCTCACCAAGATTTTTTAATTGTGGGCTTATGCAATAAATTAGATGCTGGTTAATTCGCCAATGTTCCCTGAAGTTTGTAAGATTTCAAAATGGTTCTTCAAACAATTATTTACTCTAGTTGTCATTGAAATTTATAATGGTTCACAAATGGTCACTCAATTAGAAACACTAATGTAAAATCCTGCATTAGCTGTTAAGTGCTTCAGTGCACTAACATTAGTATTTTGCAATGTTCTAAAAGGCGTAATGTGTTGCAAGGCGTCGAGGTCGATAATCAAAAATCACAAGTTTAACTGTGTCAATGCGAAGAATAAGTGCCATAATGCGTTTCGTATTTTTAATATTATTTTAATTATTTTTAAGATATTAAATATATTTTTATATAAAAAATAAAGTTTTTAATATATTATAAAAAAAATTTACCAAAAAAAAAAAAAAAAAAAGATCTGTTCTAAAATGCGTAATGCGTTGCGAGGCGTCGAGGTCGAGAATCAAGAATCACAAGTTTAGGCGTGTCAATGCGAAGAATAAGCGCCATAATGCGTTTCGTATTTTTAATATTATTTTAATTATTTTTAAGATATTAAATATATTTTTATATAAAAAATAAAGTTTTTAATATATTATAAAAAAAATTTACCAAAAAAAAAAAAAAAAAAGATTATGCGGGATAATGCTCCGCCTAGGCTGCGTATTATGCCGCCTTTTAGAACAGAAACGCATTTTTCGCGCATACCCTGAATTTGAAGTGTTTTTCACTTGCATCGCGCTTAGGAGGCGCATTTTCGCACATTTTAGAACATGGGTATTTTGTACACCAAACAAGAAGTAATGGAGTTTCCTTATATGAAACTAGTTACGGTTACAATAAAATATTTCATCTTTCTTTTCCTTATATCAAATGTGTCTCAGAAGATGAAATTATAGAAAATAACAAATAATTAAATGACTCATTCTCATTCTCTATAGCATTGATATGTGCCAACCTCCGTAAGGAAACATGGTTATCTTTAAAATATATTTTCCTTCAAATATTTTTCTGATCGAACTTCCTTACTCCTTTTATCGATCATGAAGGTGTGAATTGAACTTTATTGAGTTCTATATGAAATATCGAGCAATTTCACTTTCTAGACTCAAAAAGTTCATTGTTAGTGTTAAATTAGAACGATGAGCTCTCAATTCAAGAAGTAAGAGATTGGAGTAACCTCGGTTGAATTTTTGTTTTTAGTAATTTATTATGTTATTGGTCTCTAGTTGTATATAGGCTTCAACATGTTGACTTTTTGTAGCATAATATTATTATGACATCTTGAATTTATATCCATTTAGTAATTTATTATGTTATTGGTTTCTAGTTGTATATAGGCTTCAACATGTTGACTTTTTGTACCATAATATTATTATGACATCTTGAATTTATATCCAACAATACAGTTGATATAGGGATGGCAACAGAGCGGATATGGGACGGGTCGGTCATTCTCACCCATGTCCCATCGGATAACTTTGTTACCTTATCCCATTTCCATACCCGTATAAAGCAGGACGGGGTGGGGCCCCATTTATCGTCTAATTTATTTTTATTTATTTTATTTTTTACTTTTATTTTTTATATCTTTACTTAGTAAATATTATTACTTTTTTGCCAATTTGTTAGAATTTTGTTTGATAAAAAAACTTAAATTTAAAATTAACTTTAAATGGGACGGGTAACGGAGCATGGACTATGATTCCCGTACTTGCCTCGTACCCGCTTCGGGGCAATAACCCTCGCTCCGTCCCTGCCCCATTTATCCGATTAGGCGGGTAATTCCTGCCCCATTTGAGGCGGGGCCCCACGAGTTTCGGGTTGAACGAGTTTTTTTGCCACCCCTAAGTTGATAGATGATACGAATTTGAAAGTGGTTAAAAATGTAAGATACAAATAGAAAGGGAAACTAATTAAGATCCTAGCTATTAAAAATGAGCTCAAATCTATAAGCATGTTATACAAAGAGAGAAAAGAGAAGAGAATAAGAGAAGTCAATAAAACTTGTGTGTATTATAATGAGAACCGAAACCCTATATTTATAGGGAATGAGTATGGATACATATGGTAATAATATCTAGAGCTACATGGGTACAAGTATCATTTACATTAAACCCTAATTTACTTTCCTTTTACAACACTCCCTCTTGAATGACACATTACAAAATATCTGCCACATTAAAACCTTGTTTGATAAAAACCAAATTGGACAAAAAAATCAAAACGAAGGAA